AAAATGGTTGGCATTTCTTAGCAGAGTATTTTTAAATTAACTAATTTTAACTATTAAACTTTGTTTCAGACATAATGCTATTGCACACCTAATAGACTATAGCATAGTGTAAACATAACTTCTATATACACTGGGAAACAAAAAAATTCATTTGACTCACTTTATCGGGCTACCCACTTCATTGCAGTGGCCTGGAATAACACCTGCAATATTTCCAAGGTATGTCTGTAGATCCTGCCTCTTGTATTTGAGTTGGGTCTTTAGAGGCTTCCGGTGATCCAGATGTGAATCTTTTAGTTGATGGGTTATAGAGAAGTCCAAAGAGATTTGGGGAAGAGGGTAGTCTGCGAGGATAGCTAGAGGGATCGGGACACAACTATTAACCAAATAGGGCAACGTTATTTCGATAAATCAACCACTAACTGTAGAGCCATGAGTGGATGAGGCTTATTATCAACTGTGGATATACCATAAGTGAGTCAGCCACTCCTTGTTGATACCCACTTGGGTCCTCTTTGACACCCTCTTAGGGCACAACCCTGTATCCCATCTTGAACTCTGTCCTCCATCATCCATTACACTTTGAGAAGCCAGAAGCCTTCCACCCTGGCCACCTCCTGGATGCGGAGGGCAACTTCAAGAAGCAAGAAGCCTTTGTTCCATTCTCCCTAGGTAAGTTGGGCCCATCCCCACCTGCTCTCCACCTCTCCCTTGTGTGACTTTCTACCTTTGTCCAGCTCCAAACACCGGGTGAACGTTTTTGAAAACGATGAGGATTCTGAAGGGAAGAGAAAGCAAGAAATATCCAAGGACAGAGACAGTGTGAGGAAGGAAAAGGAGGGAGCACAATGGGGAAGATAGAGACTAAACTAACGATGGAGATTAGGTGAAAGACAAACACACACACATGCTCACACATGAACAGACAAAGAGCAGACACATGAATGATCCATTATTGAGGACCTGCTATGTGCCAAGAACTGAGAAAGGCATTTGAGCTTTTCTTTCAAAATAAAAATAACTTTATTGTTTTTTATAATTTGTATCCAACAAGGAAGCAATAAAATTGAAAGTGAAAATCATCTGTAATTCACTACCAAAATCAGGCTTAAAAAAAGTCTAAGTGGCTTTATTAACTGATTTATTAGTTGGGAAGAATCGCATCTAGCAAGTAGAGAGGAGCTCTAAAAACCCGGATGTGTTAATATTACAGAGGATGTCCTTCCAAATTTTTTATGAAATACATGCACACACACAAAGGTAGGTGATGGATGGATGGATGGATGGATAGATAAATAGGTAGATAAAAGAAAGGTAAGATGAAAAAGAGAACAGTAGGGAAGGGAAAAGAGGAAAATTAGTTGATTTACTTCTTATGAGCCAGTTAAAATCCAAGCCCCAGACTAGAATGAGGCCCAGGAAGGACTTAGGGCATAAAAATATAAGGGATATTAACTCTTGTGGTTGTACAAGTGCTTTGATTCACTTATCAAACAGTTCAACTTTTAGCCACTGACTTGGAATTGATCATATGCTAAAATTTTAAATCTCCTTACGTCTATTCTGCACTTATTTATACAGACCCATATTGACACTGATTCACTGATCTGTCTTTCCTAGCGCTACAATACTAGTTGAATTATTATACCCATATAATATATTCTAATATTTTACAAGGGCTATTCCCCCTCCATTCCTCTTCTTTCTCAGATAGTTATATGGTTCCTGTAACACATTTTGTTCTTCCAAGCTTATTTTTTTAAAAAAATTTTAACGGTTATTTATTTTTGAGAGAGAGAGAGACACACAGTGCAAGTTGGGAAGGGGCAGAGAGAGAGGGAGACACAAAATCCAAAGCAGGCTCCAGGCTCTGAGCTGTCAGCACAGAGCCTGATGTGGGGCTTGAACCCACAAACTGCGAGATCATGACCTGAGCTGAAGTTGGACTCTTAACCAACTGAGCCATCCAGGCACCCCATTGTTCTTCCAAGTATACTTTTAAATGATTTTGTCAAGGTCTCAAAAAATCCCACTAGGGTTTTACCAGGATGAATTTAAATTTGCAGATTAATTTAGATAGCTTTGACAACTTTAAAATTTGAGATATCCCCAACAAAAAGGTAATGTGTCCATTGAAGCCACGGTCATACCATTTGCTGGCAAGTGGGACTTTCTTTTTCTTAATTAGGTTTTACATATTTCTTGCTAAGTTTTTTTCTAAGAAACAGGAGGAGATTGAAGCTATAGTTCAAAGTGCCTCTTTGTCTCACCGAGCTCAGGATGACATAGACATAACTCAGGGTGGGGGGCTTACCCAGCAGACATTTATTTTCCCACAGTTGTGGAGGTTGAAAGTCTAAGATCAGGGTGTCACTATGGGTGGGTTCTCATGAAGCCTCTTCTCCTGGCTTGCAGACAGCTGCCTCCTTGCTGTGTCCTCACAAGGCAGAGAGAGAGAGAGAGAGTTCTGGGCTCTGGTGTCTCTACCTCTCTTTACACGGACACTAATCCCATCATACAGGCCCTACCCCTGTGACCTCATTGAAGAAGAAAGCCTCTTCTCCAAATACCATCACACTGGGAGGTAAGGCTTCGACATATGAATTTGGGGGTGTGGCGGGGGGGGACACAATTCAGGCCGTAGCACTCTTTTAACATAGTATTTAAAATTTTTAAATGTTTATTTTTGAGAGAGAGAGAGAGAGAGAGAGAGACAGAGCATGAATGGGGGAGAGGCAGAGAGAGAGGAAGACAGAATCTGAAGTAGCTCCAGGCTCTGAGCCATCAGCACAGAGCCTGATGCGGAGCTCAAACCACCAACTGTGAGATCATGACCTGAGCCGAAATGGGATGTTTAATTGACTGAGCCACTCAGGTGCCCCTTAACATAGTATTTTAAATTGTTTTAATTAGTATATCAGAAGTTCAGTGGGCTTTTTGGGGGTAGGATATTTTTGTCAAAACTGGGCAATTTCCTTATATTACTTTTATCTATAATAGTTTTTTTTATTTATTCTCTTGGTGTTAACATCTGAAAATAATGATATTTTGACTTAATTTTTTCTTATGTTAAATCATAACATAAGATTTTCCCTAATGTCATGGGCTAGCACTTACAGAATCATGTTAAATAATAGTAGTGATAGTGAGAAATCTTGACTGTTCTGAACCTTAAGAAGGAATATTTTCTCAGGGAACCTGGGTGGTTCAGTCGGTTAAGCATCTGACTCTTGATCTCAGCTCAGGTCCTGATCTCACAGTTTGTATGTTCAAGCCCCAGGTCAGGTTCTGTGCTGGCAGCACAGAGCCTGCTTGGGACTCTCTCTGTCTGCCCCTCCCCTGCTCATGTGCACACTCTCTCTCATAAATAAATATATGAGCTTAAAAAAAAAAGAATATTTTCTTTTTCTCTGTTAAGCTTAATGCTGTCTATGACCCTTTCCATATATTTTATGGTTATTCTATTATATATTCTTCTCAATTTTATTATTTTATTTTTTTAATATGAAATTTATTGTCAAATTGGTTTCCATACAACACCCAGTGCTCATTCCAACAGGTGCCCTCCCCTATGACCCAGCAATAGCACTGCTAGGAATTTACCCAAGGGATACAGGAGTGCTGATGCATAGGGGCACTTGTACCCCAATGTTTATAGCAGCACTTTCAACAATAGCCAAATTATTTTTCTCAATTTTAAATCAAATTAAGGAAAGACCTTTGCCCCCCTCTATTTTACATCAGATTCTTCATTTTTAAACATTTTGATCAGGATTTGATTTGGGTATTCTTTTGTTTTTTAATATTTTGAGAGAGAGCGCAAGTGGGTAAGGGGCAGAGAGAGATGGAGAGAGAGAATCCAAAGTAGGCTCTGCACCATCAGCACGGAGCCCAATGCAGGGCTTGAATTTACAAACCATGAGATCATGACCTGAGTGGAAATCAAGAGTCGGATGCTTAATTGACTGAGCCACCCATGTGCCCTTGGTTTGAGTATTCTTAAATATCTTTTCAGCTCCTGTCATAATGGGCAAATTATTTTTCTCCTTTGATCTGTCTAAAAAATAGTAGGTGTCTTAGTGTTGAATCATCCTGTCCCCTAGAGCTGGAATAAAAGAGGCCCAGGAGGGCAGGGGACTTGACCGAGGCCCCGCAGAAAGTTGTGGCCTATGTTAGGGCGTGTGAGGCTGTGATGAGCAACCTGAACATCTTGGCTTAAGGCCAACAAGTTAATTTCATGCTCACACAGCGTTTATCCCTTCATCAAGTGATGGGCACATGGATTGTTTTCTCCTTTTGGCTCATGTGAACGGTGCCACTGTGGACACTGAATACAGGGTGGCCCTGCACTTGTTTTACTCTTCATCGGGAATGGAAAGCAGATGTTTTTCATTCTCTGCCTTTGGGTCTCTGTGAAGACCCAGGCAGTACTGAAGATTGAATGAGGCCATACTGACAGAGGAGCTTGGCACCAAATGAGTGTTATTGAAGTGACTGCCATGTAAATAAATCCTCACCTTCGAGTTGAGGCTCCAGGAGGCAAAGTCACTGGCCTGAGAGCAGAGATGGACACATAGGAGCCTGACAACTCCCAAGGGTGCCATGGAGAGAGATGGCCTGTAGGTAGCTAGTTCCTATGTTTGAGACAATAGATGTGGGGGTAGGGGGGTTCCAGTCAGGAAAAGTAACCCCCCTTTCCCATTCCATCCTCTCTGCCTCAACCCCAGGCAGTTGCTTGGTCCCAGTGCTCAGGACAAGGGAGGCTGGGGGTCTGAGGTGGGTGAGAGACTTACTACATCTCAGATTACGGTCCTTAGACAGTCTGAGCTACAACTTCACAGCTGTGGGATAGGTCGCAGTTGAGGTCACACATGGAGCTAACCAATGTTCCTTCCCTTCCTTATTGGGGCGCCAGATGGCAAGACTCAGGCTCAACCAGAGCAGGTGGCCAGAAGGAAAGCTGGGGAAGCTATACTCTAACGTTAGGAGGAAAACAGGGCATTGATCTTTCCTCCAAGGGCTCTGGCCCATGGCTGTGCTGTGTGGGATTGAGGTTTCTTGGGAGGGGCTGAGGGAATAGTCCAGGGATTCTCCAGCAGGGGCAAGATCGGGGCTCCTGGCACCAGTCTTATGGGGAATCAGAGAATGGAGGGTGGAGCACAGAGAGAGCCAGGTGGGAAACTCTTGCCTTTTAGGACTTTGCTTTGAAAGTCTGGCAGTGTCACTTCCCCTGCATTCTAGTGGCCAGTGCAGCTACGAATTCCACCCAGGCTCGAGAGGAAGGGAAGGAGAGGACATTGGACAGCCAACAAATCACACACATAACAAAGCAGGTTACCATCAACAAACATGCAGATATTTACAAATTACTTTGTTATCTACTGTGTTCAGTACTTTATGATGTGGAAATGTCGGGGTTTGGAGCAAACAGTCAATAAAGAATTCCTGGGGCGCCTGGGTGGCTCAGTCGGTTAAGCATCCGACTTCAGCTCAGGTCATAATCTCACGGTCGGTGAGTTCGAGCCCCGCGTTGGGCTCTGTGCTGACCGCTCAGAGCCTGGAGCCTGTTTCGGATTCCGTGTCTCCCTCTCTCTGTGACCCTCCCCCGTTCATGCTCTGTCTCTCTCTGTCTCAAAAATAAATAAACATTAACAAAAAATTTTAAAAAAAGAAAGAATTCCTGAGACATCTTCGGTGCAAAAGGTGGTTTTATTAAAGCACGGGGACAGGACCTATGGGCAAAAAGAGCTGCACTGGGGTTTGTGAGGGCAATTATGTGCCTTCAAGTTGGGAGAGGGTTAGGGACATCACAAGCCTCGAAGGTATTTGTAAAACAAGGTTTCCAGGACTCTGAGGGGACTAGCTATAGTTAGGAAAAGGTCATTTATGAATGCTTAGTAAAATCTCAGTCATGAGACCCTTCAGATGTGTATCAGTGGGCCATATGCTTGGAGAATGATTGTTAGAGAAGGTAGAGATAAAGGATGTTTTCAAAGGTATTTCTATTATGTTTAAAGTAGACACAGGACCCTGAGGCAGGGGTCTGGAAAATGTTAAGCTAAGATTGCTGCTTACCCTTAGCAAAGGGTCAACATCCAGGCAGCTGAGATCCCAGATGAAGGTCACTGCCTGTCTCAAGGACTTGTCAATTGGCTGTAAGTTGTAAGGATACTTAATTTTTTTCTTTTGCCTTTGTTTCCCACCTCACTTTACACTGTGTAAGAGACTTTGCCTCTTGTCAATAATTTATTATGAAGCATATAGCAATGTATTTATCTCTCCAAATTATTAAGTGTTTTGCAGTATAAGAGCACTTTGTAATTAATTACCAGACAATTTGACGTGGACAGATCATTTTGCGTTTAAAAATATTCTTTGCTTTCAGCAAGACTGTTTGAGATTTGCAGAGTATTCTGTAGTATACAGGATGCCTTGTTGTTTACAGGGCATTTTGTAGTTTTTAAAAATGGTTTGACATTTACAAAGCACTTTAACATTTACAAAGATTCCAAATGGCCCAAGTGATAAGAGTATTTGTAAACACTGTATGTGGTTTGCACAGCATTTTGTAACATAAAAAAATTTTTCTCTTTACAAAAGACCTCAACAGAATGGCAGGGTGCATAGTTATGAAGTGATTTTCCATTTTACAGAGTTCATATTTATTAATTCCTTTGTAACATTCACAAAAAAGCTGCCATTCACAAAGGGCTTTCCTTCTACCTATAGAACAGGTCAAAATAGAACAGCACTTGATGAAGGCTTAAATGTTTCCAAAGCACTTGGGGAGTAGTTTATAAGCCTTCCAGCTTTCATCTGATAAATGTTCATTTGGTGCCTACCTGGAGCAGACAGTGTGCTAAGGTGAAGGTTAAGCAACAAACCAGGGAGACATCCTTGCCCTAGTGGAACTGCCATCAAGTGCGGGAGAAAATAAAAAAACAAAATCATGGCAGACAGTGATAAGCGCTATGAAGAGAGAGCAGAATTGACAAACTTAGGAAATAAATAGGAAGAGGCAGGGAGCTTAGTTAGAGCAAAGGTTTTCAGTCACAGAGCACTGCAAAATACTTCCCCCAACAAACTGGGTGTCTACAAAGTGCTTTCCTGTTTACAAAGCACTTTTGAAGTCATCGTAACACTTGACTTTTAAAAAAAATTTTAATGTTTATTTATTTTTGAGAGAGAGAGAGAGAGAGAGAGAGAGAGAGAGAGAGACAAAGCACGAGCAAGGGAGGGGCAGAGAGAGAGGAAGACACAGAATCCCAAGCAGGCTCCAGGCTCTGAGCTGTCAGCACAGAGCCTGACGCGGGGCTCAAGCTCAGGAACTGGAAGATCATGACCTGGGCCAAAGTTGAATGCTTAACCTCCTGAACCTCCCAGGTGCCCCTTGACGCCTTTTTTTTTTAAGTTTATTTATTTATTTTGAGAGAGAGACAGAGACAGAGAGAAAGCAGGGAAGGGGCAGAGAGAGAGATGTGGAGAGAGAGAATCTGAAGCAGGCTCTGTGCTGTCAGTGCAGCGCCTGATGCGGGGTTCAAACCCAGGAATAGTGACATCACAGACT